TCTGGACCTCACTAATTTCTAAACCCTGGTTACTACCCTGATGGCACTTTGCACAAACTTTTCTGTTACATTCATCTGGCAGGCTGTCATGCCTTCCACCTCTACATAACCTGCAGTTTCTCGCTCTTTCTCGCTTTCTGCGGGTGCTTCTCCAGTCTCTTATTTGTCTATACTAGCTATGATCAATCTATCTCTATCAACAGGCTATGTACCACAGTACTTTAAAGTAGCTGTAATTAAACCTCTTCTGAAAAAGCCCAAACTTGATCAAGATGTTTTAGCCAACTATACACCTATATCTAACCTTCCATTTCTCTCTAAGGTCCTGGAGAAAGCAGTTGCTAAACAGCTGTGTGACTTTCTACATAGCAGTAGTTTATTTGAGGATTTTCAGTCAGGATTTAGAGTTCATCATAGCACAGAGACAGCACTGGTGAAAATTACTAATGACCTCCTAATTGCATCAGACAAAGGACTTGTCTCTGTTCTGGTTTTACTAGATCTTAGTGCTGCATTTGATACCATTGACCATCAGATCCTATTACAGAGACTGGAACATTTCATTGGCATTAAAGGAACCGCTCTAAGCTGTTTTAAGTCCTATTTATCAGATCGATTTCAGTTTGTACATGTTAACGATGAGTCCTCCGTGCACGCCAAAGTTACTCATGGAGTTCCTCAAGGATCTGTCCTTGGACCAATCCTCTTCACTTTATATATGCTTCCTTTAGGCAATATTATCAGGAAACATTCCATAAGCTTTCATTGTTATGCAGATGATACTCAGTTATATCTATCAGCCAGATGAAACTCATCAGTTAGCTAAACTTCAAATGTGCCTTCAGGATGTTAAAACCTGGATACCTGTAATTTTCTAATGTTAAATCCAGATAAAACTGAAGTTATTGTTCTGGGCCCAAGCACCTCCGAGACGCATTATCTAGATATAGTTTCCCTTGATGGCATCGCCCTGGCCTCCAGCACCACTGTGAGGAATCTTGGAGTTATCTTTGATCAGGACATGTCGTTTAAGTCTCACATTAAGCAAATTTCAAGGACCGCCTTTTTTCACCTACGTAATATTGCAAAAATCAGGAACATCCTGTCTAAAAATGATGCAGAAAAACTAGTCCATGCATTTGTTACTTCTAGGCTGGGTTACTGCAATTCCTTATATTATTTATTTAATGTTTATTTGACAGGGACAAATGCATAGAACATTGCTTTATAAAGAATACAAAGTAGATGCCATGCATACAGGTTTCTAGCCATGACTAATTTGCAACCCTTGTCCCTGGTAAGGCTTATAAATAAATTTACAACCATTAAAATACATAGAATAACTGGACTTGGTTGAAGATACTGGAAGACGTTTCGTCCCTCATCCGAAGTCCTTTGGATGAGGGACGAAACGTCTTCCAGTATCTTCAACCAAGTCCAGTTGCCCTTGATTTTAACCTTCGTTGGATAACTATGACCTGGATGACTGAGAATCTTCATAGACATTGCTTTAAATGTATATTAAATGTTTATATTAATGTTTTAATTTCAGATGGTAAAGCGTTCCACAGATGTATGCCTCTTACTGAAAACGATGTCTGCTCGAAACCGTCCATTAAGACTCTTCAGCTGATCCAGAATGCTGCAGCACGTGTTCTGACAGGAACCAGGAAAAGAGATCATATTTCTCTGCATTGTCTTCCTGTAAAATCGAGAATAGAATTTAAAATCATTCTTCTCACCTACAAAGCTCTTAATGGTCAGGCACCATCTTATCTTAAAGAGCTCATAGTACCTTCCCAGATAGCAGCTGACTCTGGGCCGAATCCGCCTCCAAACCGGCAGATCCGTGTAACAGTCACGCCTGTTTTACTGCCCAGTTCCAGATACGGCCCACATGTAGTCTGTGTACACTCAGGAGGGCGTGAGCATCCATCAGTCGGCGGAATCCGACCCGGACTCATCGGAACAAGCGCGCGAATCGTTTCTTTTTTTTTATTTCGTCAGGCACCATCTTATCTTAAAGAGCTCATAGTACCTTACTACCCCACCAGAGCACTGCACTCCCAGAATGCAGGGTTGCTTGTGGTTCCTAGAGTCTCCAAAAGTAGAATGGGAGCCAGAGCATTCAGCTATCAAGCTCCTCTCCTGTGGAACCAGGTTCCGGTTTGCGTTCAGGAGGCAGACACCATCTCCTCATTTAAGAGTAGGCTTAAGACTTTCCTCTTTGATAAAGCTTATAGTTAGGGCTGGCTCAGATGAGTCCTGAACCATCCCTTAGTTATGCTGCTATAGGCCTAGACTGCCGGGAGATTTCCCATGATTCACTGAGCTCCTCTCTCCTCTACTTTCTCTCCCTCTGTATGCAACCTCATCCCATTAATGCATGTTACTAACTCGACATCTCCCCTTTCCGGTAGTCTTGTGCTTTCTCGTCCCTCTCCTCTCTCCTCCTATCACTTCCTGCAGGTGTTTCTGGCTCTGGAGCTGTGGAATGTGGATCTGTGGTTGCGAGACTCCTGCTGCCCCTGTGTTCCTGCTTGACATCCTCCGCTACAATTATTACTAGCCCTATTGTTATTATTGTTATTATAATCATTAACATTGCGATTATTATCATAAACATTACTCTCTTTCTCTCTCTCTCTAGTGCCCTCTCTCTCTCTCTTGTCATCTCTCTCTCTCTCTCTTGCCCTCTCTCAATTCAAATTCAATTGAAATTAACTTTATTGGCATGAATGCGTAACAATAATATTGCCAAAGCATCATACATACAACATAAGAACAATCAACCCCATACATTTCATTAAACAAGTAATTAAAGCGTAAAGCAATCAAAGCGTGAGGTTGTTGGGGACTTGTTACTGCAGAGAGCTTAAGGACCAGCTGGCTGAGGGGACTCTTCTCTGGTTTCAGCTCCTGGTATGTTAGGGCTTTGTGATAATATGTCTGGGGGTTAACTGATTTTAAGTGATTGTAAAATTTAAGTGATCTTTTCTGTATTTTTAGTAGGAGGGTGTATTGGCCGAGCTCTGCTCTGCACAGGTTATTTGGTGTTTTTCTCTGCACCTGCAGGATGCTCTTACAGAACTCAGTATGGAAAGATTCTATGATTGTTTTGTCCCATTTATCAAATTCATTATTAAGATTTGGCCCCCAGATTTCGCTACCATATAGAATTATTGGTTCTAGTACAAATTGGAAAATTTTAAGCAAGATTTCAATTGGAATATATATTTTAATGTTTCTTTTTATTGCATTGAAAGCTCTCTCTTGCCCCCTCTCTCTCTCTCTCTCTCTCTCCCCCTTCAACCCCAACCGGTCGAGGCAGATGGCCGCCCACCCTGAGCCATGGTTCTGCTCGAGGTTTCTGCCTCTTAAAAGGAAGTTTTTCCTTGCCTCTGTCGCCTAGTGCTTGCTCTTGGTTGGGAATTGTTGGTCTTCTGTAAATAACATCATAGAGTCTAGACCTGCTCTTTTATGAAAAGCGCTGTGAGATAACTGTTGTTGTATATAAATAAAATTGAATTGAATTGAAAACACGTTACCAACCAATGCATCCTCTGTAAAACTGGCATGTCAACACGGGATTTTTAACCGTTCTTGCCAAAATGCAAACTTGTGTATTGGGCCAGTACTTGGGCCACAAAAGATGACGTTTCACAAGAACACAAGTACAGACAGATTGAGAAAGGCCCTTAGTCTTTCTAAATGCAATCAATGTTTACCTGGATATCAGTGTTTCCTTAAAATAGTTGATAGCTCTATATATTTTACAGTAGACTGGACCTCAAATAAAATATATATATAAGTTAAACAGTAGTGTGCCAGGAATGTTTGGTCATTGAACGCCCTCTGTTGGTGCTTTAGAGGCATTTCTTGTCCATGAAAACCAGAGAAAGTTAAAATCAGCATTGAACCAGTGTGTCTGAGCAGCGTAGTAGTGCTTGCCCTGACAACGCAAAGATTGACTGTTTGAGTCGAGGGCAAGGCATGTTGACTGCAATACTAAACTGAAGAAATGTTTCCGCATATACATCTCTTTCTTGACGGCCTTAACATTCTTGAAAACTTACAAAATTTTGAACACACGCCAGGAGGGTCAAAAAACAACAAGAAGTCGGCCATTTTGGATTTAATTGTCATATTTGGTGATTTACACACTTCACATTTAAAACAAACTCCTCCTAGAGAATTAGTCCGTGCGTACTTGCTGTGCAGTCTTATCCCATCAATGATCACATGTTGTACAAATGGTGAGTTTTGGTCGACCGGGGCAGTCCGTGGCGTGGAATATCAATGATTCGCCATGAAACAGGACGTTGTTACAACTAAAGTGTACATGCTCACATCTGTACCAAACTTTATGTGATTGATAATGGTCTTGCCCCCAACACGCCAAACATGCCAAAATTCAGTTATAGTCATAGCGCCACCTACTGGCAACAGGAAGTAAGCCTTGTGTTACATCCATTATGCGATTAAAAGAAATTTCCTCAACATGATGTACTGGACATAACGTATCGTTACTGGGTGCTCCTTTGCACCACATAGAGGACACAGGAAGTGACTTTTAAGTACAACACTGTCTGACGCGCTTCACGCTGGCTGCTTTAATATTTAACTGAATTAGTCCGTGTAATGTGATTCTTTTACCTGTAGGTAACGCTAAAGGATTTTAAATTGCTGATGGAGCAGTACTTGCAGCTTTGGCAGCAGTCACAACTAACAGCTGACAACCCTCACACGCATTTTCTTAAGGAAATTACCATTCTAGTTGTTTTTTCATTTCTTGTTCATTATTTTTAAGGTTTAATTTAGCTTTTGTTACTATTCTTCCCTTAAAATATTTTAATGTTATCTAGAGTTAGGAAGTAGAGAAAATGTCCACATGTAGGTTAAGGAGTGAGTAGGGAGTAAATGACTGGTGACACCTCGTCACTGTCATCATCCTCATCATCAGTGTCATTTTCATGATGCTCAGACACACAGCCAACCAATTACAGTAAAATATTTTATTTAGAAATGATTATTCATTTTGAAAATAAAAAATCCAGTGAATAATCATGTAAATAATCAATAAACTGATTAAAGTGCAAAAATACATTTCTGATATAATGTATCTGTACAAAAATAACATTGGAATGTGGTATTGACAAGCAAGAAAATGTGTCTATGCTAACATGGCTTTGATCATTGCATATAACTTGTGTCCTGCTTTGAATTATAAGCGCCTGAGCGCCACAAGGACCTTTTCCTTAAGGTCCATTTCTCGTTCCACTGGCTCCTCTACCAAATCAGGCTTTGATAACGAAGCATACACTTCTACATTAAGGCTTATTTCTGTATTATTTCTTTAAGAACTGGCTGGTAAAACATGTAATCCTTGAGAAGTAATCCATGGAGGCTGAGGGCTGTGCCCCAAGCAGCTGAGATGAAAAAGTCTTTGATTGTGTTTGATTCTTGTTTTATGTTGTGTTCACGTCTCTTCCCTGCTGGCAGAGTGCATCACTTGACTTTGATTGGCTTCAGATCCTTGACCTGCATGTGTAGTGTTTTATGGACAGCCAGAGTCCTGGACTGACAGAAGCCCTTCCCACACTCCTGACATTTGAAGGGCTTTTCTTTGGAATGAATGTACCTATTGGGGAACACAACAAAGCAGCAGTTAGTATTTAGGAAGAGCCATGTCACATTTCAGAACATCATCACTTTAGTGTGGGTGGCTGTGGCTCAGGATGTAGTGCAGGTTCTCCCCCCGCTCCATTTACCACCTATGTCAGGCTTCATGACCCTTCAAACATGTCCTCCAAATGAGTAGCCTCCCACAATACCAGATATTTGGTAATTAGAATAATGTCAGCAAAAGATAAACATGATATTGAATAAGGCATTTAGTCTTATATATTTAGTAATATTATTCCTTTCCCCAGTAACCAGTTGTGTAAGGGATTACGAATTCCAAACGGTACTAATATTAAAGTTATTAATCCAAGTTACACTGCATTACTGCGTTACCAGAAAGCCACTTGTTTTGTTGTCCTTGATGTGAATGTGCGACTGCACGGCAAGTCAGGGGCAGTTCAAGTCCAGAAGCTAGTTATAGGAGTTAGGAGTCCAGTTAAAGGAAGAATGGAGAACGAGGGAGAGAGGCATTCTTTTAACCCATTCTCACTCCCATCTCGTCACATATGAACGCATAGTCAAGACCCATCAGCGTCAGTTTGTAACGCACTGGGGATCCCTACAGTATCATAGTTCAACGCAGTGGGGTAAGCGCTGTAGCGTCAGTTTTGATAGTGAAGGTAGGTATATGATATTTAACAGAAAAGACAGAGTAAGGAGGTGGTTGGGATGGATGAAGGGCCAGAACCCTGACTTCGAGAACCAGGAGAGCGGTCTTTGTGTCCCGTGTGAAACTAAACTAAATTGTTTTATTTAAGTTATGCAAGCTGTGTAAATTAAGTAAGTTACACAAGTGACGTAGTTATTTTAACTCAAACCCTTTTCACTTTTCTAACCTTAACTAAGTAGTTTTGCTGCCTAAAGCTAACCAAGTACTTTTTGTGCCTAAACCTAACCAAATTGCAACGTTTCACAACTTTGATAACGTGCCGTTTCAAAATGGCGATGTTTCGCAACACTAGCGTTTTATTTTGAAAGTCTAACAGGACGTTGCAAATTTGTTGCAAATCGTTAAAAAGTGATGCCAAAGAGCTTTGACCAAGCGTCAGTAGGTGACGTGTCGGGAGTGAGAACGTGTTGGTTCTTTCCACAGCTGGAAGTATTGCCATTATTTTCCCAGAGAGAAGGAGGAGGGTGTTTGATTATCATCCCTCTACAGATGGCTGAAGAGACCCCAAAGGAGGGGGTGTTGAAAGGTCGCTATTCCTGAGCAGCCTGATCGTAAACCTTTGATTCCGCAGCCTGATAACGCGCTGCCTGACTGTTAAACTGACAAAAGGGACATTAACCAGCGATTAGCGTTTTCCTAAAAAGCCTATCAGAACTCTTCTTAAAGAAAGGGGGCCTAAACCTAAATTTTCCAGCTCCTGAGAAGATTGTTTTGGGATTAATCTAAGCTGTTGTCATGTAACCTGAGCTCCCCCAAGTGGACAAAATAAGTATTACATGCCATCATTCTGAAATGCTAACCTTTTAAGGTCTAATTACTGCCAATTGTTTTCCTGTTACCAAATGCTTAAACTTAGAACGGTACAACCGTTTGACCATTGAGGTTTGATTGTGGGAAAATATTTGATTATAATACGCACAAATAGATTTTCTTTTCCTTTTTATAGACATATTAAAAATTTAGAAAGACAGTCCCTTGGGAAACTGGAAACGGCCCGCCCTGCGGGAAACGAAGGACTGCCCTCTGGGGAACCACGCCCCAGACAAAAAAAGAGCGACACACGACGTCGTTTGTTCTCTTCCACTCTGCTCTTTGGACGCTTCCCTCTTGTCTGCCGGCTTGTTCCAGGCTCTTCAACGGCGCGTCGGCACGCGCCTGGCGTGCCCTCTTCGAACAGCGCAACAAAGTCTTTGTTTCGACATTAATTTTTCCCTCGTTTAACAGCAACTTTACTTGTTTTTATTTTCTTTCTTTTGTTTGTTAAAAGTTATCAGTCCGTTAAACTAGTTAATTCAATTCAATTCTTTTTTTTAAGCTTTATACGTCGAGCTAAGCCCATGGAGGTCGGACACTGCCACGTGGCCCACCAGCAGTAACAAAGGATGACTTAAACCTGACCCGAGACAGGGTTGGGAAGGCCCCCACTGCAAGTTTCTTCAATAAGCCTCCCCGAGACGGACCCCGGAGCAATTCCCTGTCAGAGAAAGCAACTGGCCAGCGGCTTGAAGCTGTCCTAAATGAGAACGCACAGACTCTGCCAGTGTGAGGCCGTTTACCAGCAACCCACGGAGAGAAACACAAGCAGTAAGACCAAACAAAGCGTTCTGTGGTCAGGGATGTCCCATAGTGTTAATATTGTCTTTTTAACTCCTAAACTCATAGCTTACTTTCATTAGTTCTCCTCTGCCGTATGAGTCAAATCCTCCCACAATCGAACCTCCATTCTCATTGTTTAGCCATTGTTTATTTCTCTGATGTATTTAACCACCTTTTTATATCACCTTAGTTAGTTAATAAATTCTCTGTAACCAGGGAATTGTGTGTATTGCCTACTTCTAAGTCCCTGCCAAGAGAATTTACCCTTTAGATATGAGACTGACTGATTGATTTAAGATAATTGAGCAATTATTAACTAACTGATCACTGGTGAATAATTGAATAATTATTAAAAGCTACCTAGAGGTCCTGAGACTCTAGGTTAATAACTCCGATGGTGCCCCTGCGAAACGAGAGCTTTTTATGGATTAATAATTTCTGAATATTAAAATTCATAATTGGGTATTAATTCTCATAAATGTATTAAAATTCATACGTAGTTTAGACATGCTACACCCAAGATTGCTCAGGATCTAATGTTAATAATGTTCTGTGTTCTTCTACACATACAAAAGGTCACACACAGTCCAGGTTCATAGAGTGAAATTAATTAAAGCAGCCGTCCTCGTCAATATAGTCTCCAGGGGCTGGTGGAGGTGGAGTGGGTGTGGGTCTCTAAATTGGAGGCTTTTTTGTGATTTATGCATACATGCTGATTCGGATGACGATACAGAACATCTGACTGAGCAAAGAAACAAATTCTTATTTGTAAAATACACAAGTCTTAATTTGGAGAACGGTGGTGTCTGGAACTTGATTGATTGCTGATTCTGTGGAAATGTGGTTAAAATAGGCCTTAAACTTGAATAGTGAAAGGGATGAGACACACCTAATTACACAAATGGGGTATAACAGCACACACTTTCTAGCAGTAGCAAGATTACCACACCTAGCCAATCGCTGCATTAAGCGGACATCTTGTCAGATTGACAGTTCCAGAAAGGAACCTTTATTCATGCAGCAAATACAATGTTTAGTTCTGTATATGATTTGACTTGACAGGCTTTGATACATGTTCTCACCTGTGGTCTCGGAGGTGGTCTTGTCTTCTGAAGGCTTTGTGACAGATATCACAGGTATATGGCCTCTCGTCTGTGTGCGTCCTCTCGTGGATCAAAAGGTTGTAGGATTTGGTAAAATTGCGGCCACAGAACTTGCAGACAAATTCTTTCTTGGTCTTGGAGGGCAGTCGTCCTCGGCTGGACTTGCGCTCTGGTGAGGAGAGTTTGGTCACGTCCAGGAGGCATCCCAGACTAGCTGAGGTTGGGTGGTGAGATGAAGCTTGCGCTGCAGCAGCAGCAGCAGCACCCGCCATGCTCAGGTCCTCCGCCTTCAGGTGATCCTCCTGGGTGGCTGCTGCTGCCAGGTTGGCAAAGTCAAAGCGAGGCTTGTTCTTGGAGCTCTGCAGCAACCTCACTGAGTCTTGCTTGGGCTGCAGGAGGTGAGGGAATATAGGGATGGAGGCCATGGAGGAGAACTGGGCAGGTAACTTTGAGATTGTGCAGCGGGGCAGGGCCAAAGGCGGGTAGCCGAGGGTCCACTGGTGGAGGTGGATGGCGTGTAAGGCGCTGAAGCTATAGATGCTGTGGAAATGATCTGCTGGCAGCTGGAGGCCTGTGGAGCTTTGGAGGAGGGAGTAGTTGGCCAGCTGGAGGGATGGGTGGAGAGGGACTGGTGCTGGCAGAGTCTTGCTGCCCATGGCTGCTACACAAACTCTGGTAGAGACAAAAAACACCAGGTGAGAACATGCAAGTCACGTTGATTTATTCTTACCGCTTTTATAATTGAATGCATTAAAGAGAGGAGCCCTCAAAACAATTTTTACTCCCCCCCAGCTCTCTGTAGCTCAGACAATCCCTGCTACCTGCGTGTGCTAATCCATCCTTTGACCCAGATTATTTGTCTTTATAATTGCTACTTTTATAATAACAAACTACAGCTGTTTCATGTGTAAGTTCGTATCATTTCCCGTTTCACATTTCACTTGTGTTTTCTTGACAAAATGTGGTTTGCCAGCCATCAGGTGACACAGCCACTGTCAGCTGGCATAGTGTCTGACCCCCTGTCACTAATCAGTCACGTAGTGTGAACGCCACAACGACTTCAAGACTCCTATCACAAGACGGCAAGTTGTGTAGTCTGAACAGTGCGGTGATCTGCCGACACAGTCTCGGGGCCACCAATGAAAAGGCACGATCACCTTTGTTTTCATACGAGACTGCGGGATGGCTAAATGGGATTGGTTTGATGTAGGGATCAACCGATACTGTATGTTTTTTTCCGGGCTGATCCCAATCCCGATTATTACTAACCAATTAGATCGATGACCGATATTTGGAACAGTATTGTATTTGCTGTAAAAAATTTAATCTAGGTGTCAAAATTTAGAATAACACAAACTCCAACACAAAACTTTGTTGAAAAGAACAAGATTAAAGTTAATTGTAATGTTTAATCTTTATAGATAGGAAATTAAATGCATTAGAGATCCACCCCAGAGATGGACTAAGGAGTGATAAATTATAAACTTTGTCTTTACCTTCTACCATTTATATTGTATTTATTTTATACTGTTGGGGTTTTATTGATACATTTATTGATACTATTTTTATTGGTTTTGTTTTTTTTATCTATTTTCTTATTGGTTTTCATTATTAAATAATTGCCTTTTAAAAACATGTTATTTAAAAAAGAATCAAATTTAATATTTTATTATAACAATTGCTAAATTTTAAGGTACCCCTTACAAAAATTTCCTGTGGTACTAGAAAATGTTCCTATGGTATTCATATGGTACGACCTTACAGTACCAAAGGTAAAGCAAATTCTGCGGTAATGTATCACAGAAGGTGTGGTACTATACCATAGATTTATGACACATTTACCAAATAGTACATGTCCTATAGTACTATACCATACATTTACCACACAGTACGCCCTATGGTACTATAATATACATTTACCAGACAGTACACGTCCTAGGGTACAATACCACAGATTTACCACACAGTACACATCCTATGGTACTATACCACAGATTTACCACATAGTACACATCCTATAGTACTATACCACACATTTACCACACAGTACATGTCCTATTGTACTATACCACACATTTACCACACAGTATATGTCCTATAGTACTATACCACACAGTACATGTCCTATGGTACTATACCATAGATTTACCACACATTTACCACACAGTATATGTTCTATGTGGTATAGTACCAAAGAAAGGATCGATGCTTCTGAGTAAATATTTATAGCTCAATTGTAAGTTATTTTATTTATTTTAGAGAACACATAACAGTATATACAAAGCTGTCAAAATGAGGGTAACATGTACACAGTAAAGAAAAAAATGAAAGACAAGAGGACAAAACACAAAGAAAATACTAGAGTAAATTCAAAATACTGGATCATAAGACATTTGTCAAACATATAATTAATCTTAAAAGCATTTGTATTCTTAATGTCAGTCAGCCCATTTCTTCTTGTGAACGTGGAATTTCCAAATAATAAAACTAACTTTACCAAAAAAATAATAGGCACCTTTTTCCTACTCATTATTTAACAACTACAAAACATAATACATAAGAATGTCTATATCCTGAAATTGAATTGTTTGTCAAGTTTTCCTTCCCATATAATAGTGAAAATCCAACCAAAATATTTTACTATATAGATCCAGTGATAAACAAATGACAGATTGTTTGTTTATTCTTGTAATTCAAAGAAAGTGCAAGAAAACTCAATAATAATTCTGAATCATTATCACTTCCATCTGACGTCATCAACGTCCCAACGTCAGGCCAGAGCCGTTAAGGGAAACTTAACTCAACTAACGTTAGCTAAAAAGTAACGTTAATGTATACAAGTGACTGAAATCTTTGCCAGAAAGTCGTCAACAGTTATTATTTAAAGTCTGGGGCTGCTCCTTGTTACCTGCGCTTTGGTCTGGTAAGTAAAAAAGTTAATTAAATTTCGGCTATCAGGCGCAGTAGCAGTAGCGTTAACAGAAAGGCTAACGTTAACTTAAGTAAGCTGGCTAACACACTGGTAACTTTGCACCAAGTGCTGTAGTTATGTAAGCCCTAACGGTATAATGTGGAGACAGTCAAACTCTGCGTTCAAGTATTATAAGCTGTTGCTAAACGCAACGTCTTTGTTGTAAGATGTTGGGTAACGTTACTCAGAAAGTCCTACCATTCAGCCCTTTTATTGCAGAGACTAACGTTAGTTGCCTCAAGTGGCTGTAACGTTATCTGTAAAGGAGTAACGTTATTTTTTTACTGTAGAAATGTTGTAATGAAATGTGGACAGGAGAACTATATTGCGTTATGCAAGACACATTTCTGTTATTTAGCACGGGCTCACAGATATTAATGGGATGGACATAATAACAGAAACACCTGTCCATGTGCTACACTTCAACTGCAGCACAACAAACTGCAGCTTCCAAAATGATCATTCTTATTAGTTATCTTAGCAAAATACTGCACATTATCATTTTCATGAAGGAAGGATTTATGGCAGGAATGTTGGATTAGACTGTATTACCTTTTAACTAGATGTAATTAATAAACTGGTAACTAAGTCTTAGAAACTATTTCTCACAACATTAAACTCCGCCCATATCTCATGTTTGTGAGAAGTATTTACTGTTAGTAGTATTTATTTGGCCATTATTTTGTAAACTAATAAAAATATGGTGTTCTTGTATTTTGTGCCAATTACAGACCATAGAGAGTGCTGCTAAAGGAATTTCATCACGCCCATTATCACCTGACTGGCAAGAGCAGCTATTGTACAGGTGAGTCAGATAAATTATAAAATATTGTATTTGAAAAGTATTTGATGATGATGTTGTTTACTGGACTAGTGGGAAATAATTATATTGTTTGTTAAATCTGCTCCAGGTCTGTGCACAACACGAGATGAAACAGTATTTACATGCACAGAGACATTTGTATCATTTGCAAGGGTCAGTGGTGTCAGTGGGGGACCCGGGCCTTATTGATGAAGCTAGCTGCCGATGGGTAGAAGCCGTTTTTGTGGTGAGAGGTTTTGGTCCCGATGGACCGCAGCCTCCTGCCAGAGGGGAGAGTCTGAAACAGTTTGTGTCCGGAGTCAGCTGCAATCTTTCCTGCTCGCCTCAGAGTCCTCGAGGAGTACAGGTCCAGAACAGAAGGAAGATTGCAACCAATCACCTTGCGATCAGCAGAGTGAATGATGCTGGCAGTGACAGCAGCGTACCAGATGGTGATGGAGGAGGTGAGGATGGACTCAATGATGGCGGTGTAGAAGTGCACCATCATTGTCTTTGGTAGGCTGAACTTCTTCAGCTGCCGCAGGAAGTACATCCTCTGCTGGGCCTTCTTGGTGAGGGAGGTGATGTTCAGCTCCCACTTGAGGTCCTGGGAAATGATGGTGCCCAGGAAGCGGAAGGAGTCCAAATTGGTGACTGGGGAGTCACACAGGATGATGGGGGAGGATGGGGCTGGGCTCTCTCTAAAATCCACGACCATCTCCACTGTCTTTTGAGCATTAAGCTCCAGACTGTTCTGGCTGCACCAGGTCACCAGATGGTCGATCTCCCACCTGTAGGTGGACTCATCCCCACCTGAGATGAGCCCAATGAGGGTGGTGTCATCCGCAAACTTCAAGAGTTTGACAGACTGGTGACTGGAGATGCAGCTGTTGGTGTACAGGGAGAAGAGAAGGAGGGAAAGAACGCAGCCTTGAGGGGATGCTGATGGTCCTGGAATCAGAGACATGTTTTCCCAGCTTCACGTGCTGCTTCCTGTCCGTCAGGAAGTCTGTGATCCACCTGCAGGTGGAGTCAGGTACGCTCAGCTGGGAGAGCTTCTCCAGCCGCAGGGCCGGGATGATGGTGTTAAAAGCGGAGCTGAAATCCACAAACAGGATCCTGGCGTAGGTTCCTTGGGAGTCCAGGTGCTGGAGGATGTAGTGAAGGGCCATGTTTACTGCATCGTCTACAGACCTGTTGACTCTGTAGACGAACTGCAGGTCTGTAACGGACTTCATAACCACAGAGGTCAGGGCGATGGGTCTGTAGTCGTTTAGTTCTGTGGTCCTTGGTTTCTTGGGGACAGGGATGATGGTGGAGGCTTTGAAGCAGGCTGGCACATGGCATGTCTCCAAGGGGTGTTAAAAATGTCTGTGAACACCGGAGACAGCTGATCAGTACAGTGCTTCAGGGTGGATGGGGAGACAGAGTCAGGCCCAGCTGCTTTGCTGGGTTTCTGCCTCTTGAAAAGACAGTTGACTTCCCTCTCTGTGATGGAGAGAGGAGGGGAGGGGGTGGAGCTGGCTAGCTCTGAGGAGGGGGGGGGAAGAAGTGGTGGACTGATGCTGAAGCTGAGCAGATGAGTCACGGGGGATGGTGTCTGATTGACTCTCAAAGTGGCAGTAGAACTGGTTCAGCTCATTTGCCAGGCGAGAATCGTTTATGTAGTGGGGGACTTTGAGTTTATAGTTTGTGATCTGTCTGAACCCTCTCCAGACAGAAGTGGCGTCGGTTGCAGAGAACTGGTTCTTAGTCTCTCTGAGTACAGTCGTTTAGCTTCTCGCACCTCCTTGCTAATCCTCAACAGCTTCACTAGTCCACTTCTTTGATGTCCTCACTACAGGTTTACAGCGCTTTTGCCTGTAAGCAGGAATAAGATGGACCATCACGTGATCAGAG